GATGTTTTAAAACATATTAAGGTGAATAGATTGTTAATCGAGTTTGCAATACAGCGTTGACATTTGCTAATATATTTTAATACCTAATATTAGGTGATGTCCAGTGATTAAAGTGTCGTGATCAGAACACAAAATAATGGCTTTTCATTAAACGGTAATATGACGCTGTCGTGGATTAACGTCACCGGCAATAAACATATCGACACGTGGATAAATGTGTTTGCTACTTTGTAATATTACATACCCCAACCCACAGTGTTATCAAAAATGATTGTTATGCAAAGTGTATCTATTCCGTTTATTGCTGTTTGTTTCTATGGCGTTTATTTGAAATACTGTTACAGACATTAGATGTAATTAATTATTTATTATATAAGATATTTAAACTAAACTTAAGGTCAGGTTCTTCAGTTCTTGACTGCAGATGCTTTCTAGTGCATTCAGTACAATCATGTAAACTTTGGCGCTAATAACCTTGGCTGATATTGATTCACATGTTGTAATTATTAGCAAATTTCCGGTATCTGTACGGAAATGATGTTTATATATTATACAATTAAGATATTCTAAATTTTTTGGTTATACTTGTGTACTCATTCAGATAGCGTGTATTAACATCGGCGTTGCAGAACGAAAGTTCAATTATTAATACAGAAACTGTTTTTCTCTATCGATGAAGGATATTAGATATCGTACTGTTACTTGAGGGCATCGTCCTTTGGAGTTGTTCTGACTTTTTTCTTCTCTTCTATTTGTTTTAACCCTTCAAATGCTAGTTTGTTATACGATGATGGTATGTTATGAAGCTCATAATATTAAACTAATTTAATTACCTATGCTGTCCCTATTCGATTGTACATAACCTTTGCTTATCTAAAATAATGTAAAAAAGGGTTTGAAGAAATGCACTTATCTTAATATCAAGAAATATTTAAAAGGGAATGAGAATGACTTTATTAATTAAGTCACTTTGTCAAATCACTGATAAACGCTTTATCATTGTAAAATCATAATTATATGAGCCGCTTCACGACAAAACCAACATAATGGGTTTGTGACCAGCATGGATCCAGACCAGCCTGCGCATCCGCGCAGTCTGATCAGGATCCATGCTGTTCGCTTACCAACCCTATTACAAGAAGAGAGTCTGATAGCGAACAGCATGGATTCTGATCAGACTACGCGGATGCGCAGGCTGGTTTGGATCCATGCTGGTCGCAAACGCACTATGTTGGTTTTGTCGTGACGCGGCTCATATGCTTTATTCTAAACAACTCAGTCATCTCAATTCAAAACGTATTGTCTGTGAAAGTTTATTCAAAATATGCAAATATTTTGTATGAAAAGTATACTGCAAAGACATAACAAATCAAATGACTACGTACATAATTCATATATGTATTTGTTTTTGAAAAGGAAAGGAACTGTGTTAGAAAATTCCGCGTTCCCCACCCGTCTTAAAAAACAAAATGAAAAATGATTGAGAAATGTATAGAAACGCAATTGGTTGCTGCTTTCTTTATTTTACCATCGTTTCATTCTTTTAATAATGGATTTTTTTTCTTTTAAATTAATAACTTTGTACATTATAAATTCATATGTATTTTCGAAATTACAATAACTCTTATGCCGTTCTCTGAGTATAAAAAATGAAAAGATGAAAATAAGATAATCTTTCTAATATTTATTATCCACAGAAAAACATCCAAGAATATACACTTTAGCATAGTTTTAGATTAACCATGGTAATCGTACTTTAAAGAATGACGTAAATATTTATTCCCTGAATTTTTTATTTGACAGCATATAAATACAACTTTTTAAATGGATTATTATATGCAAATTATCCTCTGCAACAAGAATAACAAATGTATCAAGAGAATATCTTGTTATCCCCAAGGCATGATTGTAGTCTTCAAAGTGCTAACAAGATCATTAAAGGAATGGTATATATTTTTATTAGTTTTAATATGTTGCAGAAAGTAGGAAGACGTAATTGAATAGGCTGTTAATACATTTTGTGCTTGCAATTAAATACAAATATGCTTTGTTATCAAGTTCCACAAAGTTACTTATTTCATCAAGCACAATCCAAATGCATCTTACAAATGCTTTTAAGCTTTTATTTAATTAATTTAACTATTTGCAATTGGATAACTTCGTTGTTTTGCTGTTCAGTATCTTTAAAAGAGGCTTACATTTTTTCTAAGCATGAGGGTTCTGTAAAGGAGAAGTCCTCAGGGAGCAGTTACAAAAAAATAATACATGTATGTAAAAATGCGGGTTTGAGTGTAATTGAGTTTGTCCAGGAAAGACAATAAGAAGTACAACATATTTACGCATCCTAGCACCGGCTTAAGCCAGAATAAGTTTTTAATTTTAACATCAAACAGAAATTTTATCATATTTTAATTTCGTGATGGAAACTGTGCCTTTGAAGTAATTATATAGTTTTATTTCTCTGAAATATTAGTAATGATAAAGCAGCTGCTAAAAGGAAAGCGGAAATTTGCACATCTGTAATTTTTTCATCTGTTTCGGCTGTTAGGAAACATTCTAGGTAAATGAATATTAATTTCATTCCACAAATTTACAGCATATAAATTCATTAGCATCATGTTTATTTGCAATAAATCCAAAAAAACAACTACATTGTACTTATTGATTGCTGAAAATTTTACAAGCGAAAAAGAATTTGTTGTTCAGGACCTTTTAAGAGTGACTATATTCCTAAGCAGTAAATGATAAGTCATTCATGAGGAATAAAAACAAAACTAATTAGTAAACATTGAGTATAAATTGGACGAGAAATTGTTATAAAAATTATAAAATATATAAACATAGTAAAAAAGTATGACAACACGGTTTCGTATTCAAATTTTGAACATGCAATTAAGGTAGACAATTGCATAATTTTGCAACACACGATGACTAATTTAATTCAATTAACGGCATAAAAACTATTTTTAGAGTATTTTGACATGTGGCATGTCATTTCTGTCAGCCTAATACTTACTCTGCTGAAACTAAAAAAGAGGTCTTTGCCACCAGGCTCTATGCTGTTGTCTGAATTGTTAGTTATTTGATAGTTGACAGTTCCAAAAATAAATGCAGGGTATGGTTTTATGTTAACCTATAATACACATTGCCAATAGGGCTTTGTGGCGGATGAAAAAAGCTAACAACATAACTAAATAACTTATTTAATGTGACACATCTTTATTTGATTTCACTTCCGTATATTTTTTTTTTGTATTTTGCCAAAATTCCATTTTCCTAAAAGCACATTTAACAGCTTTTATTTGTCTCGGGAAAATGCAAATTATGTGACACAAGTTGCTATTTCATGTTTAATTGTTTGAAACAAATTCTTGGAAATTGTAATAAAGCGAGACTCTGGAGATGTGAACTAACAATATTTGTTAAAATAATTTCATAAAAGATAACATGAATTGGCAACTAATGTCATATTCATTTATCACTCGATTAAATAAAAACACGGAGATGTGTTATTGTGCTCATTTATATCCGTGAAATATTTTACCAAATTACTTCTTGCAAAACAAAAAGTTACAACAGCTTTTCATAAGTCATTATATTCTACCCTTTAATTGTTAATTAATCATATGCATCAAAGATTTTATTATATTGATAATCAACTCGAATTAAAACTGATTTTGTTGCAAATAAAAACATGGGAGTATTATAAGTGTAATGCGGTCTTATGTTACACTTGTGTAATAAAAGAAGTTTATAATCAATTTTTTGCTATTGAATTGGCTCTGACCCTAATTACACAGTAAAGGTGAGATTATTATTTGTTCAGATTCACTTTGATTTCTCACCTTTTTTCAAACTACGTCAAACATATAATCCACTGTTACAGGAATTAAATAATTTAGATACCAGTATGCTAAGAGTTCTAGATTAAGCTGGCATTCTTTGGTAACAAATTAAATACTGGTTTCGAAGCTTTCCTCCTGTAGTACCCCGTACCGTGTGCTCCTTTGAACCATTAAGAAAGAGGCAGGCATCTCTGATTATAATTTTGAAAGAAAGCTCACCATATTAATAGAGAAAAAATTTAAAATGCTACAGGCTCGTTTTGATTGACCCTGTTCACGGACGGTGGTTGTAAATGCAAAGCCAGCCATTAGTCCATGCCCATCAGAATGTATCAGAACTCAACATTAAAACATAAAAATTGTTTAATAATAATAAAGTTTGCATTTAAGTCCACTAATGGTGAGTAGTGGTTATGTGAATAAAATTGCATTGACCGGGTCAGTCAAATATCACGTACATATTTATAACTCCTTTCTCAACAAAATAACAACATTGTATACATATTGGCGAAATTGTGAAGCATTTTCTGCGTCACTGTTGATTTTACATCCATTCGCGAGAATGTATAACCAAATTACCTCGTTTCACCAGCTATTTAATACAATTTCGTCAGACAAATGGTTTTAATTTCCTAGGACAAACTAGATTACCCAACTAGATTAAGCTGTTTACAAACACACGTGCAGATATATCTTTTTGTTCAAATTCATGTTCCTGTTTTGGCGCTATATGGCCTTTGTATGGCAATATTGAATCGAAATGCCTGTTTTTATTTAGTGTTTGTTTTATGTATCTTGTTACAAAGAATACGAAATACTTAAAAGAAAAAAGTAACACTGTAAGAGCGCTGCAAGTTTCTTTTTGTCCAAATATATATTTTTGATCTGCTTGTGTTTTTGCGCTATATGGCATTTACAAGTTTTAAAAATTGAAATGAATACTACAATATCAATGACCTTTGATCTGAAAACTTTGGGAGTCATGTATTTAAAATGATCAAAAACCTTAGCATTACACGTTAGATCAATAAACAATAGCGTGTCGGTTAAAATGATTTTAAAACTCATAGAATTAAACTTATGCAGAGTTTTCGTGTTGTTTTTCATCAATGATTTTAAAGTTTACAAGTCATGAAGATAAATTGTTTATTTCAGGAATGTATGGATGAAACAATGAAAATATGCAAAAATGCTACACGAAGACGATTGCTCGAAAGCGTTTGAGGCGGTACTTGCTCAAAGTGGGAAGTTTGGGCATTATCAGCGCCGTCTGTATGCAGTCGTCTGCTTTATGCATGTCGTCTGCACGTCCATTCTCACGTACATGAAATTTGTCCCAAATCTGGAACTGAAGCAAGACTGCACAGAGATTATCGAAATGGAAGCGGGAAATTCCACTTTCATTTTCCTGCATTTCAACGAGACGGCGACATTCTCTATCAATTGTCATACATTTTATGATAATGATATTGGACTAGAATTTGACTGGACATTTCCGGAGGTGAGAATTTTATATCTCATTAAAAGACGAGAATACAGATCAACAAGGCAAAGGCGCAAACAATCTTGTCTGAAAAATTTATTGAAGTCAACACATTTTAATTTTGATATATGAAACAATGGTTTAATTATTATATAAATAATGATAGAATTCTGTGGGTATGATAACATATTCTGCATATATTCATCAAAGAAGTGTTCCTTGTAATAGTTGAGAATTCAACTTCCCAATAAGGTGTATCATAGCAATAAGGTATGAGAAATAAACATGTTTATTGTATATGTGAATTTTAAAATATGTTGTCGTTATATTATAGTTATTACCAACAAGTGTGTTCACAGTTTGTCCCTGGTCGGAAGTAAAATAAGCTCTAAAAGGCTTTTGTAACTTGCGTTTCTTAATTTATGATTGCGTTGCTTGGGTATGATTTTAAAACAAAGGATTAAAGGTACTAAAGTTCTATTTTATTAATTTTCTGTGGTTTGTCTAGCAAATATATTGATAGGTGAGAGAATGAGTGGCTTAGAACTCAAACGAGAGTTTTGGAGTGAGTTTTAAAAAACTGGATAAAGTGTTAGCCCTCGGAAGCATAAATCACGACAAAATTGCAAGAAAATTGCACACTCGGTTTGATTATGTCTATACATGAGGAATAATGTAAAAGTGCAACATCCCTCACGCCCCCTAGCACCGGCTTGAGCGGTAATTTTTTATACTACTTTACCTTCATAACTTGGCGAAGGCTCCCGGGAATAACATGCTGGCAGATGATGTCAAGATAACCTGTTTCAGATATAGATAAAGCATTTCGTTCCCTGGTCTTTATTGAGATTCCTGAAGAAAATATTTCATATTCTCATTTATTTTAACATATCTAGCTACTTCTGCAAATTGCGCACCACTGTACAAACTTTATATAGAAAAAAAATCGAATAAATGTTATAATTCAGTATTTGATTTATCTATCTAATGATTGATCTGGACAGAGTGATATACGTACGGTAAACTATTCGGAGAAAGTTTGTGCGCTTATGAAAGAATGCCATACATCAATCAAAAAATGAATGTATCATAACGAGAATAGATTGGAGACCAAAAATGTCATAGTTACAAAAATGAAATATGACATTTAAAGTAGCATTGCTCTGTACAGACAAAACAATACATCAGGTTTTTTTCTTACCATGTTTTGATAAAAATTCATTATGCAAAAAAACACATGGAAATTATGTTGAGAAAATTGTTCAGAGATTTCTGTATACATTCAACATTATTAATAACTAAAATTGAAAGAAATCTGCACAGCTATCTAAACGTCCATTGTGCCACAGAAAAGTTTTTTTTTCTCAAAAACTTTTTTATTTTTGTCATGCAATAGTTTCCAAAAAGTTACTCATTTCCCTATTTTTTAACACTCCTTTTCTTCTGTGCCTTTCTTTTGTCATTTGGTAAAGTTATAGTGATAAAAAAGTTTGTATGGAAGTCAAACTACTACTTTGTTTACATTTGCTACTTTCATAACAAATAATGTCGCATTTAGCGCAACTTTCGTCAGAAAATAAGCATCTAACATACTCAAAAACCATTGTTGAAATGACAGAGAATTCATGTTTCCCCAATTCTAAAAAAGAAAAAGATGTACTCCTTTCTTGGGCATAATGTGCAAAGTAGTTTTTTCAATAGTATATCTACTTTATCTTTAAACATGTTTCAGTGGGCATTCCCAGGTTATGATACAGATGTCCGGACCGTGGTTCATTACGGGCAATGTATTGGACTGGCGGTGGGGTTTGTTCTTGGTTCAATCCTCTCTGATACGTTAGGACGACGACGTGTGATGTATGTTTTCTTTACATTGTTGTGTTTAACCCAGTGCTTGTGTGCCGTTGCTCATTCATGGAAAATATTCCTCGTATGTCGTGTTATTGTCGGATTTGGCGCGGGTAAGTGCGAATGTTACAGGTGTATAAATTTACCTATATTATTTTTATATTTTTAATATACTAATACTTTAAATTTTAGCAGTGTGCCGTAACATTGTAAATTAACTACTTAACGTAATTTTCAATAACACTATTTTTTTTACCTTTTTTTAACTATTTTTTTGTTATTTAACTAATTTTTATAACGTATAAAAGTTTGACCAATAGGGTTAATTAAACAATATATTTAAAAAAAATAAAATTGTACTGTGTACGTTTGGTTTATATAACCTTAACTTAAAATTATTTAAATTAATTACATGTGTATAATAAAAGGAATATATTTTGCTACAGGTAATTTTTTTATATGTTGCATTTGTAAATTGCGTACATCTAATGTTAATAAACTTATATTATTTAAGTTCTAAAATCATTTCTTAAAATATATTTTTCTTTGTGCAATATAATGTCGGCCATTTTGTACATGTATGTTTACATTATTTAAATGCAATAAAATAAAACAATATATTTTAAAAGAAAATAAGATTGTACTGTGTACGTTTGGTTTATATAACCTTAACTTAAAATCATTTAAATTAATTACATGTGTATAATAAAAAAAAAAGTATTTTGCTACAGCCAAAAGTTGTTTTAATCCGTCATCCCCTGGCCCCAGATATATAAAACTCTACCGTTGAGACGGTCCAGTGCCCTAAACTATAAAAAAAGGTCTGGCGCCTCGGCGACACGTATTTTTTAAAATTTCAAAAGATTATTTTCATGCTTTTTAATTTGTAAGTTTCGTTTTTATCTGGTTTTGTCACAACGTGACTGCTCATACTAAACGTGCTGGGAAGGTGATAAATAGACTATATTGTTCATACATTACTATTAAAGATGGCGTGTGTTTTAATGAATTGACATACTAAATAAATTGTTTACATTTATCTAAAACTTACATAATCCTTACAGGCGGTTTCATCTTGACAAGCCTGGTTCTCCTAATAGAATACGTGGGGCATGACTGGCGAGATATTTGTATATGTCTGGTACCCTGGTGGCTCGGACCAAGTCTTTTATCGTTAGAAGCATTGGCTACAAGACATTGGAGGTTTCTGGCGCTCGTCTCTGGACTGGCGGGAGGTCCACTCATTGGCTCATATTTGTAAGTTTTATTTGAACATATTCTGATTGTAAAGCAGACTCCAGAGGAATGCATATCTTTTTTTCAAATATCTTTGGTTGTCCTTTATTATCTTCCTTTAAAAATTAAAACTAAATATGTTGGCTTTTACACAAAAGCCGGTACAATTAGTCACGACCATGTCCTTCTTTGAGCTATCAATCGTTAGTTTGACCGATTTCAATATCTGAAAAAGTTAAACTTAGCAGTCAACAGTACAAAGTCCGGTCGTATTTCACAGACGGTGCGGCAGGCTGGCCTGGCTATATAGTAGTGGCATAGACAAATCACTGCTGTAACATTCTAGGAGTTAATGATTCAGATGTTCTAGAAGCGTCCTGTTACAGAAACAAATAAATCATACCAAGATAACCAAAATAACCAAAATAAGTCAACCGTCAAACCAAAAATCTTTTTATTCCGGTCATTCAATGTTCATTCTTTTCAGTTATTTAAAGCAACAATGTATATAAAAAGAAAGCAAATCTACTGAGAGCCTCAGGTTTTGTGATGTATTATTTCTGTCACACGCCAGTTAGTTATATAGTTATATTCAACAGTTCTGTTACCGACAATCATCAGTTAGATTGATGTTTATAGAAAATAGAAATGATGTTTGAAAAAATGTTCCCCGTAAGTATATTGTCTGTTAATATCAATGGTTTTAGAATACAACCTTTTTTCCTGTTATAACAATAAGTGTTTTCTATACTGACTGATATTCAGAGCGGAAATCCCATGGTAAGAAGAGATTGTTGACGATGTCTAATTTTAGACAGTGTATTATCGTACATTTATATCGACGCCACTGACGTAAATACATTGCTAATTATCTTTCTAGTTTTAGCTTTGATATAAATAATTCAAAGTTCGTGGCACATGGCGACAAATGCTGAGTTTCTCACTTCATGTAAATGATATTTTCCAATTAAAATCTGTTGCAATTATTGCCGAAAAAATTCAGTAATTAACCTTTTTATACTCGAAAAAGAAATCGAATATCTTACTTGCGGTATTTATTCTTCACACTTCGTGATTTTTTCTCACCTTCATTAACCTGTGTTTTTCTTGCTGCACACAAATTTGTTTAACAGAAATGTTGTTTTAAAGTTGAACATTTAGATTATCATTTATAACATAATGTTTCTTTGTTATTAACATTAACTTGGCTAAATCTGTATCACGGACTTTTTTTGCATTTAAACTGTCTGTACCAATACAAGAAATTTATACACTATATCAACAAATTTAACCGTTAATAGTTGATACCTTTCTTGTTTCCGGATGAAGTCGAAATGTTACCACAGATATATCTTATAAGTAATTGTAATGAATGTGTAATCAATTACAGGTTAGGATTGTAGAAACTCATATTTGTAATAGCTGATTAATCTGGAAGTAATTGTAAATAGAGGATATTGTAAGTAATGGTAAACAGAGGATATTTAAAGTTTGTTTGTTTGATTGAATTTTACGCCGCACCGACACAGTAAAGGTGATTTAAATAGAGGATAATGAATTAGTGAAGATTCAATACTAATTTTTTAACGAATTTACAAACATAATATAGATAATAACATTTAAAAATATATGGCAACGGCCTCAATTCTGAAATACGTACAATTGCATATTCACATTTTGTAAGAATTAATTCATGAATCAAAATATAGGAAGAAATGCTATGTTTTGGATGTCTACAAATAATTATTAGCTTATTGCATTATTCATCCATGATATTAGATATTTATTTTATGCTTTTCAGTGGATTACTGATTTATCCGTGAAAATTATATTTGATAATTTCACAGTGAAAATTATCAAAATATAATTTCACTTTTTTCAATGACAAATCTACTTTTTTAAGATTTTCCCCATGTGGTACCTCAATTTTATTTTTACTGACAATTCTGACAATATCAGGCTGTTAAAAAAAATAGCAAAGCTGAAATAGATAAATAACTTAAATGTCAAAAGTAATAAAGAGAGAAAACTTACTTCTATTCCTTCAAATTCCAATCACAAAATTTCGTCTCTAATTTTTTTTGTTTCGTTTTTACAGTCTGAAAAATACATTCCTTCCCCATGCTAAACTGCTCTTGATGACATTTGGGCATATTAAAGTATCCTACGAGCAATAACTGCCGTATGCTTTATGAAAAATTGAAAAGCATTGACAGCCATCACTCGTAAAATAAGTAAAATAACCCAGCGTTCCTTACAATGCCTTAGCAAGCTTCCAAGTTTTCCATTTTCCTAGCTCCTTTTCTGAATGTTTTCACTTCTGTCAACACTTATTTTTTGTCTGTTACAATCCTCAAATAAGTTTTCTTTCTTTTAAAAAGGTGTATGACTAACAAATCTAAATAATATCCTTCTGAATCTTACACAATTATTTTCCTCCCATGAAATACACAACTTTAAAAAATGGCTGCCGCTTACATTTTACAAAGCCAGGTCTAATATAAATTCGCAGTAAGTAACAGAAATATGGATGGATGGTTGGACTTTTTCTCCTACGAGAATTGTTTGTTTTTATTATTAAAACAAGCGATCATTCATATTTTTTTAATAAAATGAATAAATATCACCGTCATTTAACCTTGATTGGCGGACTTATTTCTCAGCTCAAGACTTCTTGTTTTTAATGAGAAATTCCCTCTGAATGGGGCTCTCAATGGGGGAAACAGATTTTAATATTAACGTTAAAATTATGGAAATTACGTTTTAACTTGTTTTAAAGCATAAAATAAAAAGAAAATTTGTCTGTTTGTTGTGTAAGATGTAATTTTATTTCATCTCGTGAACTTAAAAACAGTATTCTCACTCGTGGCTACGCCACTCGTGAGAATACTGTTTTTAAAGCCCACTCGATGAAATAAAATTTCATCTTACACACAAACAAACAAATATCCTCTATTTATTCAGCAAATAAGCATTAGTTCATACAAAATAACAGAAGATATATGAAACTAGAATAAATCTGTGATATTCTTTCTGTTTCTATGGAAAAAAATATTTTATTCAAATCATTCAATAATTATGCTTGTATTGCCAATTCTTGGTACAAAAATACAGTTTCATTCCTGTTTGAAACAAGATATAACAAGGCATCCAATCAATTGGCATTGTTAAAACAAAAAAAAACGCTATATTTTCATTGAATTTTGCCGAAAAAAATACCAAAAGAGATCTGGCTATAAAAGTTTTTAATATCTTGCAATTGTACTCGGACTTTGTTGGCAATGAATTTAAATATTTAGACCTGTTACAAACAGACGAATACACCAAACATTACAAGCAGACAGTCTTAAATCTCATAGCTATATGTATGTTGTTTCCGGCATGCAAATTCTCGTCGCTGTGTGTTTGTTTGTTTATACAATGATTTTTTAAAAAATATTAATACTCTCTGAACAATATTAAACACAGATGATTATAATTTGGCAAAGATCAGATTAGTTCCGCAAATACAATGTAAATACAATGTCTGTGAGAGAGTTCTTGATTCTTTTTTTATTATCTTTCACAAAGATTCTGTTGTAACAGTACTATTTATTTTGGTACAAAATCTGTTCTGCGGTTCTACACAGGTGCCCGTTCTTGCCTGAAATAATGCACGGAAGGGCACCTTAGGTAGGTCTTTCTCTACCAGTAAAGCTGGAACGTTGCCTTGTCACCTATACTGTGTCGGTGTAACGTTAAACCCATTCCAACAAATAAACAAACAAAAACTGTATATACCATGGGCTTTCTGTCTCGCATAAAGCATATCGATTCATACGCATTTTATTTAATGGTTGAAACAAATTTTTTCATATATTTTCAGTATAGTTTTTGAAAGTTCAAGGTGGCTGCTATGTCATCACAGATTCTCTGCGGCAGAACATACGATAAAAGAAGTGGTGGCCTGTAATTGCCGCTCTGTGCCAGAACTAACCACATTGTTTGATATTGCAAGGACTTGTATTTTAAATACAATGCATAAAAAGACTTTTACCTTTCTGGATTTGTTTACAACAAGTAAACTAAGAAGGGGTACAATTGCTGTGATATTTACATGGTAAAATAATGTACACAACATATAAATATTATATATTCAAATATACACATATATACGTTATCATCATAATGTGCCTTTAACAAATTACTCAGTATTTCAGTGTTTGATTTTGAAGTGTTTGTAATAATTCCTTCCTATAAATTACAATTAATATGGTCATTTCAGTTTTGTTTTATATTAAGTAATAACTTAACTTACGTGTATAAGATAGGGAAAAACGCATTTTAAACTACTAAGTAACACATGTCTTATCATTTATTATATACTGCAAATTATAATTGTTCGGTTTGTAGTATATACGCACGTTATTTTCAGGTTTTTAGGATCTACTGTATACTGTGGATTATTTCGAGATATACGTCAGTTGACGTCCAATCCCTACCTCAATAACTTCATCTTGTATAACACAGACGCCATTGTCATTGTCTGTGCAGTTCTCATCAACAAATGGTGACTTTTTTTTATATCATTCTTCATTAACAGTAAACAAATAAATGTATTATCATCATTATAAGAAATATATAAAACTACCTTGTTGAATATTAAAACTATATGCATATTGTAAGATATTACATGTATAGAGTTTCTTTCTTCCTGTTTTCATTAGGGCAGTAAAATAACGAACAATTGAAAGTTATAACAAGATAACGATCAACAACATATATGTGTTAAGTTTAAAACCGTAATTAATGCTTAATTTAATATGAAAATTGTAAACTCGCGTTTTAAATTACAATGGATCATTAAGTTTTATAAATACAACGGTCTAGCCAAAAGAAGGATAAATTCACGGTATGGGATCTTGCACCGGATATAATCTTGTTTTGAGTCAGAACAAATCGAAAAAAAAATACGAGAGGTAAAGAAAATCTATTACTAAGCTCATTTGACACTAATATGACTTTAATTCGGGTTTGTGCTTCTCTTTAGAAATGCCAGATATTACATATGTACAAGTATCAACCCAAAAATCAAGATTTCATGTATATTTTTGTAAAATATTTAGGAAATGTTCCCAAAGTACAAAAAAACACTAGTTTCTAACACGATTTTATCCGGTGCCATACCATGAGATTGTAGTTATATTATTTTATCTAATCAGAAAAATGTTAAATTTCAATTTTAGTTTAGGTCGTCGATGGTGTTTGTTTTTGTACGCAATGTCGTCTGGTCTAGTCTCGTTGTGTATTCTCGTCTTGCACGTGAGCAACGAGACCATGGATATGAGTATGATCAACTCGCTGGGATTTTTCACAAAAATGGGCGTCACAACAACGCTGACCATCATTAACCTGGTTACCCTGGAAACATATCCAACTGTGGTCAGGTAAAAAAACAAATATATATTTTTGAAAAATAAACTTACATGAAATAAATAATAATATTTTTTTTTATTTTTTGGTAATTTCCAGAGTATTACGAGTACATTGAGTGCTGCCTGTTATAATGATAACATATTAGGTACTTTAAGGACAATCTAAGTAAGGCTTAAACTGAGTTTTTCAAGGTGTAAATTGTGTAACCTTTCTGTAAGTCTTTGTACTACCCAGGTGTATATAAATTACACTAATCTTCTTGGCAGTAATGTGTGAACTTATTCAATAAAATTATCAAATCTTCTTGTTTAATTACCTGATACATTGCAGATCTGGTAAAACAAATGCCACATGAAATAAATTGTTACGTGCTAATCATTTACAGTAAAATCAGAAATTTTGCGAGGGTTTTTGTTTCGCTCATTTAGCGGGTGGACTATGGTCGCGAAAAGAAATAAACGGTCTTGCACATATATGCCATTAAGTTAACAACATTGATACAATTCTTCAAACTGAAAATAATATCCGGGTTGCATTGCATCTTTTTAAAGTAGACTTTCCTTTTTCATTTGTTTTTCAGAACTATGGGCTTATGTGTTGGGTTTTTAGCTGGTCTTACGGGCTATATTTTAGCAGACAAAGTTATCGTGTATTTGGTAAGGACCTGAACCTTCCTCTTTGCAAATTTAAAATTTGAATTGAACTAAGGGGTTTTAAACCCTGTACTCATATGATTATCGAAATAATATACATTAGAATCTAGATAACCTGTGTTTTTTTTTCAATGAAAAAATATAAGGATAAACCTTTCTTAAGACCTCCTGAATTCTAATTGTTATGTTAATGCTCCATTTATAGTCATGAAATAAATTATGAGATATTTTTTGCGTTCTTGGTTTATGGTTGTTTTCTTGTTTGTTTTTAATTTCAGATACAAACAAAAAACATGAAATAAAGATGTACCCTTTTATCATTCCAGGAGCCATTCCACTACACAGTCCCTTTCCTTGTTTACGGGGGTATGATGTGCATCCTTGCATTTGGCGTTCTTTTTTATCCAGAAACCATCAGAAAACCACTTCCGGATATTCTTCGATGTCGTCATAGGAACTTGTGTGCTCACGACCCTATACAATTATCTAATCCCGTTACACATGGTTGGTTTTCGTGATAATACATTCCATACATCTGACAAGAAGATATTTGTGTTAATCTTTACTTCTGGATTTGTGATTTAGACATACGGAGATTATCGTGTTTCAATGGAGGGTAAGTTTGAAAACATTAAACCCTATCTTGAGCGCTATTCTAATTAATATTTTTCTCATTTTTTTCTCATTAGACTTATGATTAAGCGTTAAAATGAATTCTGAGCTAATTATACATTTTTTAATTGTTAAGCACAAATACCCTTTGAATATTGCCATAGCGAAGCAAAATAGAAAATCGAAATGTATGATTCAAAGAGATGTGAAAAATAATTGTATCGTCCGATGTCAATCATATACCCTTTTAATAATAATAATTATTATTATTATTTTTTTTATTATTATTACAAACTATTATTATCTAAAGTTATAAAAGAAAGTTCGTTTATGTAGAGCTTTATTATTATGTCTTTTGTGAATATTAAAAATTGTAAAAATGAAATGCAACAATAATATGCAAACGTTATATTGTTACACTAAAATACTGATAAAGTTACACGGTTGTTATTCTTTTGAGACAAAATTAATGCATTTGTCTTACTCTTAAAATGAAATATAGAACAATATGACTATCATCGTGTCATATAATAATTATCATTGTGTCACATACTAATTATCATTGTGTCACGTCAAAAAAATTAATGTGACATATAATAAATGTTATCGTGACCCGAGCAGAGTTCGAACCCATGATCACCTTTACTAAAGGGTCACTGCTCCCCGAAATAAATGTTATAATTTTACATTATAGAAATATTCTCGTGTCAAATGTATAATCATCATTATCGTGCAACATAATAATAATAATAATAATAATAATAATAATAATAATAATAATAATAAAAAATAATAATACAATAATAATAATAAAAAACAAATAAATAAAAAAAAAAGGCAAAACAACAACAACAACAATAAACATTTTGTTGATACAAACTAAACATGAATATTTAACTTTTACTGTTTTTTTTCAGGTGTGGAGAAAAACGTGTGCCTTAGAAAAATACATTTTGAAGTGCCTTAATTACTGTAGAAGAACATTGATCAACTTGCGGACCACAGCACATTTGTTAATTAAATGGTACACTTTACCATCATAACACATGTACTTTGTTACTTAATTAGTAAACCATACCACTTGTATTTTGTAAATGAATTAATACACCATACTATCTGAACTTTGTTTCTAAATTGATAAACCAAATGTACTTTGTTAATGTATTAATACACCATAACAGTGTATTATATTAATGAATTGATTTACCATACTACTGTACTTTGTTTCTAAATTAATGAACCATACCTCTTGTACTTTGTTAATGGGTTAATAGCCCATACCACTGTACTTTGTTAATGAATTGATTTACCACACTACTGTACTTTGTTTCTAAATTGATAAACCATATCACTTATACCTTGTTAACGGATTAATACACTACGTCACTGTACTATGTTTATTTATTGATTAATTGATTTACCATACTACTATACTTTGTCTTTAAATTGATAAACCATACCACTGTACTATGTTAATGAATCGATAAACCATACCACTTGAACTTTGTTAATGGAATAATACACCATACCAATGTACTATGTTAATGAATTGATAAACCATACCACTGTACTTTGTTTCTTAATTCATCTACAATACCACATGTACATTACACATGTTGTCTTCAAAGGAAAATGTAATATATTCACTTCAACCGTACTATATACATTCGAATAATAAATATTTACATGTAATATGTGTTTTATATTTTCTAAAACATGAAACCTTTAAAGCAATATGATATTTTTAGATAGTATGATAAAATAACAAAACATTCCAAAAGAGTGTAAAAAAAGCATCACTATTTTTTTGCTTTTCCACAAGTTTCAGTCAGCTATGTCATTGATAAAATACCTTTATTCTTTTGGCAACAATGTCTGAAAGAATTTCTCGTTATTTATTACGTTTTGAGGTGAAAGCGCAACTTTTGTAAAGGCTTGGCATAATGTACATTTACAATAGTGCATACACATCAAATGAACGTTAATAATTTTGTTTTTACTTTGTTACATGTAATTGTCTTTAGCATATATTGAATGGATAGAGAGAATGGAGCCAACCTCGTGCTTAGAATATTGCTGATTTATTAACACAAAATTAGAGCAAACCATGAGTGTCATTTTTCCCTGAGCAACACATGATTTTAATTTCCCCACACCAAAACATGATTGTTAATTTCCATTGGATAATTTAGTTTTTTTATTCATTCATTTGTAATATTTGCTGTTTTTAGTTATTTAGCCTTGTTTTTTTTGGCAAGATTTCGAAAAAAAAACATGTGCAAAAAGCTACCATTAAGCTAGCTTCAAAAGAATTAGATAATTCATATCACATGTATCGTGCAATATCAATGATATATAAAAAAGATTCCATTCAATTTTTCATACGTTCCACATATTTTCTGTGTTCTTCAAAGCTACCTAAAATTGCAAAGGAAATAAATACAGAAATAAAGAATTATTTACAGAACCTTTGAATTTTGTATGATGACAATGACTTGCCTATGAGCTGACTTAATATTATCGGTTGCTCAATTTTAGTACTTTGATCCTGAAATTTTAGTACTTTGATCCTGAAATTTCAGTACTTTGATCTTGAAATTTAGTACTTTGATCCTGAAATTGAATAAATTACTATTGGACTGTTGAAGTGTATATCAACATAACCTGTGGCACAAATTTAGCGAATTCAAATATGAAAGTGTATATACATGTAGCTGTATACTTCCCACCAGTACGGGCTGCAAAATTATTGGTTATTTTCTGACTTAAATGATTAAAGAATATCTAGGATGAATGAAATGTGTCTATTTTATTAAAGCGAGCAGGACATGCGTGAAAGAATCGCAAAATCTGATAAAATAGCAGCGGATTATTTTGTTCCGGAACATTTATTCTGTTAACATACACTTTTCATGTATGCTAACTTACATGGACACTCATACAAAGCTGTCAAGAAACGACAGTAAGATTATGAAAAAATATAAATTTAAGTTTTAGAAAAAAAATATATCATCAGATAAAACTTTGTACATTTAAAGTGGTATGCCTCCAAATTCATGCTAATTTCAATGAAAATTTTAAAAATGTATTGTGAAGCGAACAAAGAATATAATTTACACATTGCAAACAGCACTTGCAACCCACGTAAATTACCAAAATAGGTCAAAATAAGCAAAACTAGCCCTTACTAACTTAGTAGAAATATGATGAAAAATACTGCAAAAACAGTGCTTAATCCCACATAACATGTAAAATAACTTCAATCTTAAATCTTTCTATTTTACTTCTCTAAAAATCTAATAACATTTTTCTCAAGTTTAGTTGTCTTGAAGTATTTTGGCTCATGTGGAGGCATTCGGCTTTAATGTATCGTTCATCTTTCAGCATCTCATTTTCAATTTTGTGTTGTTGTAATATATCAAATGTAATACTGTCATTATACAGGTGGCAAGTTATATACCCCTAATGTCTACGAAATTATCAAATTCACACCTGCTAAGATTGATGTATAAAAAACACAGGTAAACATGTCTGGCATCTTCTCATTTATCATATCATTAGCAAAATGAAAATTAGATACCGGGGTAAGAAATTCGTTTTTATGCAAAATATAAAGCGTATTCGTTTCGGATAATGATCGACTTTATTTCACCGAGAGCGAACATTAGAACCGATATATTCATGTGTGGCAAAAGTGCAATTGGACTGCTGTTTAACGAGAAATAAAAAGATTTTGATAGAATAAATACTGATAAAAAGTGAATCAACTCTCATGCAGTTAAATGGCACTATATGAAGAACTTCTATTGTACATAAAGTATCGATTGTTTTCGATAAGGAAATAAGAAAATAAAATTATATTAAAAATGACTTTTCAGTTTCAGTGCAAAACGAATGAAGTTTGATGACATCTATGTTCATTAGGGATGCGGTTTGTTTAGTACCATATAAACAGCTATTTACCTTCTGTTTTCTTAAAATAGACCTATCTAGCTTTCAATTTCGGAACTGTTCATTTTAGATTTTTGGAACGTGTAAATTAAAATTTAAAGTAAATCAGACTTTAGGGCTAAGGGTTAAACTGAAAAAGTATGCAAATACATCAAAGTGTCAGCTGGTCTCTTTAGTTGCATCAACTTTAAATAATTTTATTGAACATTATAAAATAAAAACGAGAAGATTTGTTCATTTTTTAATTATGTCAAAAATATTTTATTTATCATGTTCTAAAAGGTTGCAATATTTTAATAAATAGGGTTCCCGGAGGTTATGAGTTCAAATACTCGCTATACAAAATGATTTAAACGCTGGTCACCACCTCGGTAGACTAGGAGAAGTATAACATTATGAACTGTTGCAAATTTAAGACGATTTGAAAGGTCTAGCAATGTTAAAGTTTCCACATGTAAATGTAAATTATTCTGTAAAACTTATTCTTATTTAATTTTGTCTAAAATGATATTTTCACCTTGAGCATTTTTACAATAATAATGAGCGCAACACATGTTTTAAAAAGATCAGTCGTTTACTAATAATCGTAAATAGATTTATAAAATCTGAATACCTAAACAATAATTATTTTTCACAAATCTTAAGTATCTGAATACCTAAGCAACAATTATTTTACACAAATCTTAAGAGACTATAATGTTGCATGTAATGTTCAACACATCTGTAATAATAAATCTTGCAGATATTAGTTTGAACTTTATAGAAAATATTCGGACGATTCGATTAAAATATTTTCAAGTAATAACACTTGCATCATAATTCATAATAGTAATGAACTGTTATCAATTTGGGGCATGATATTGCAGAATATTTGCTGATATTAAAGTACACCTGTTTGTAATTGGTATGATTTTTTTTTGCCATAAATTGCACCTTGACTAATTATTTTGTTTTTCTTACTGAGGTTTGAAAAGCATATGCGTTCTGGTTGAGTTATGCCAAAAATGCGATATTACTGAATTTTGAAATGCATATCTATGCTTTTTTATAGAGTTTTGCCTGTTGGATACAATTTAGTATTAATAATTAATGTTTCAATTTTAAACAGAAGCCTGCAAAACTGCTGTTCAAAGATTTTGAAATTTAAAACAAACTTTCAATATTTCAACAACAATTAAAATATTTTCGATATTAACTAAAGCTAGTTTTTGTTCACAATTCAAAAGGAATCTAAAAGTACATTTATAACTTATTTTCCATTTAATATGATAAAGTTTGTCTGTCTTTTAACAGTAGCTCATAGTTTTAAACTTCAGTACAGTCTTAGCTTAATTCAACGGACAAAATCACCAGACAAAATCGCCAAAGTACGATATTGTTTGATTTTATTAACCTGTCAACTCCATACTGATTATACGGTCAATGCACAGAATATATTAATATTCGATAAATGTTCGGTTAATTCCGTGAAATTTAAGCAGTAAGATGTGATTAAATTCATCTGGTTTCTATGCATCAGTTACACTGACCGTTATAGCGCAATAGGGTAAACTATGGGTATATAATTTCTAAATGTCCTACGTGTTGTAAGATCGAGACAGCGTATGTCCATACATTTTTTCTAATTTTTAACTATTTTCAATATTTTTTAAGTTTGTTCTCTCTGTTTTAATAGGTTTTGCACTTTTTTGTTTATACTATCTTTTTGTATATAACATTGTTAAAGAATTAATATTCAAAATTCATTCGGATCAATAAATGTCATTTCAGTGCCGTAAAATACAATACAAAACGTGACAAGTCAGTGTTTCTTAGTTGTTTCATATCTGTGTAGAAAATTCTGAAAGCGCTTGATCATTTTCATTATAATATGCTTAAAAATAAAGAAAAAATAAGTCTAAAAATAAGTGACGTCTAAAAAAATGTCAAAAGAAGGGATCGAACCTCGGACCTCTCATACATAAGGTAATCACTTTAATCGACTTTGTTATTGCGGATGTTACGAGAACCTACATTAAGCTAGTGGGAGTTTTCCAAACGTTAGCTATATACTCCATATTAATTCTCGTAAAATAAACGGACAAAACCGAAGTAGGATCGAATATTTAAATGAGTGCTATAATGTATTCATAATTGACAGGTCAATAAAATCAGACTATACAACTACTAGTATAACCACACAAACACACTGAGTTTTCAGTATTTATATCATGTGTGACATCTAACCACGAAATAAATATATTGGTGTTGTTAGTAAGTCCTATATACCATTACTATATAGAGCAGAAAATAAAATGTTTTAGAAAAAATGTTACAAATACTTCTATAAATATTCATGCTAAATCACTAACAGCCCTTTCAATATTTATTTTTCAAGAAATATTTTATTCGAATTATGCTTATGATACACGTCTATAGTTCTATTGTTTTTATCAATATATGAAATACGTGTAGAAAATTTGCTCACTGCAGACTAATCCGCTTTAAATAAGCTAGCTCGTCTTATTTGTGAATTTTAAACTCGTCATAGGAATAATTTTAGAGAAAGAGACGTTGAGAGATAAGATTAACTATTGCTCAATTTGAAAGCGTATGTAAGGTCCATATGAAAAACTATAAAACAGAATTTATCTAAATTTAACATGAACTTAGAATATGAAAACAGATATATTTTAAGAGACAAATATGATGAAGTGGCCGTCCGTCCTCGTTTTAA